GGCCGTGGGTTCCCGGAGGCCCGGGTCTCCCACGTCTGCTTTGGCTTGACCATTGGCTGAAGCAGCAGCAGCACCATCCAGGCTAGAGGTGGAGGCACAGTCGTATTCCTCACAGAGGTGCTCCTGTGTCTCAGCTCCCGCATCTGGGTCATGAGTGTGTTTGGGAGAAGGGCCTGCAACTCGCCCACACTGACCTTCAAGTTTGAGGGAGGGAAGGTTTTCAAAGGCAATCTTTCTCTTGTTTCTCCTGAAACACTATGATCCTTTATTTAAAGGTTTTTTGCTTGCCAGAGAGAGGTAATGTCAGAAGTCACCTCCCCAGGGGGATTGCCATACCACAGTCCCTTCTCCATTCCTCCTGGGACTAGGGTCTTGCACGCACATGTGCCCAGCATGATTTCCAAGGCATTGGGTCCAGGACTGAAACCGTGGTCAGCCATGTGGTTGTCCAGTGCCTCAACCACCACACCTGCCAGTCCCCACTACTATCCTTTAATAAGAGAACAGGAAAGTCTCTAAATGAATAGGAGCTCTTAAACTCCCCTCATTTGGAAGCTGTAATGCTTATCCAGTGGAAACACTCTCCATCTGATTCACAGTGCCTGGCTTTGCAAAAAAGGAGCTGTGCAAACTCTGCATATACTTTTTCTTAACCAGCATCCACTTTCCCTCAGGCTAAACCCAGCGAGTTGGAGGCTAGAACACAAGTTGTTTCGCTGTGGAGAAAATTGAAGTTGAACCTAACGGGCCGCATCAAATGCCGAGCTCTCGCTAGAAGCTGCTCGTGCCACTCAGTCTCCACAGTGTATTGCCCCCTCTGCACTGACAGTGATCCTGACCACATGCTGGGGTTGCAAAGCCTTTGGGGAGCAAGGGGCTGGGAGGGCACCCTTCCCTGTCCTAGTCAGGCCCCAGAGCCTCTCTGCAGAGGCCATGTGCATGGGGCCCAAGACTGCATGGCCTTTTCCTAAGTTGGTCGGCCCTGAGAAGTTTTTGATAGACTGTTTTGTCCTTGCTTACCTTCTGGATATTGACAGCCGTTTATGGATTCGTTACTGTCTGCTCAGATTGTGTAAGTGCTGTCTGTTATCTCACTTCATCCCCTCACTTCCGTACCACAGTCTTAATCATTTTGCCAGGCCCTTGGCTTAGGTTCAAGGAGAGCATACTTCCAGTCTTCCCTGTATTCCTCCTGTCATAGGGACGAGTTAAGGCATGGAAACTTCTTGAGAAGAGAAAGCATATCTTTGGATCTTTATTCTGGGAGGATGCCTAGACCCCAGCTCCTAGCACACCCTCCTCATCTGTCCCTAACACACCTGCAGAGACATGGAGCAGCATTCCAGACAGAACAAGTCAGTGCAGTGGCCCTTAGTGACTGAGCGGTCATAGAACACAGTGGAAGTTTGAGGAACAGAGGAAACCAGTGTGGCTGGTACAGAGTGCTGAAGAGAACGGCTTAAGATGAGGTTGGACAAGACCAGCAGATGGCATAATGGTTATGTTGCTGAACTCCCACGTAGTTGACTGCAGTTCAAATCCCGTGGCTTGAAACTCATGCTGGATGCATGCACATGTGTGCCTAAGATCCTGAGAGGAGAATGAAGGAGAAGGGATTGAAGTGTGGACAAGTTCCCTGGGGGTGATTTTTCATTTTCTGTCTCTGTCTCTCAGGCAAGTGCACACAACCTATAGCAAAAATCTCTCCCTAAAAAAAAAAAAAAAAAAGGAGGTTGGAAGGCCAGCAGGTGGTGTGGAGGTTAAAGCACTGGATCCCACATGGCCAACTGTGCAGTTTGGGTCCCAGACCTGGGGGATTAGAAATCCCTCCCAAGAGGAAATTAAAGGTTGCAGCATGGCCAGCCCCTGGGGAGTGAGTCCTCACTTTCTGTCCCTGGGGAGCACATTTGCCCCAGGACCACTGGTGCCGCAGGGCCTTAGCATGAAGGTGGGCCAGAGAAGAAGGAGAGCAGGTGGGAACTGTTGCAGTGGTCCGGGGTCTAGGGTGGTGGCAGAGGAGAAAAAAGGGTGGACTTCCCAAGGGACCGCATGCAGGGAAGAATCAACTATGACTCCCCGCCTTCTGACTTGTACTGGGTAGAAGGAGCCGCGTTTACTGAGAGGAGACGGTCTGAAAGAGGTTAGGGTTTAGTACTTGTGCCAGGCACTCCGTGTTGGGCCGGGTGAGATGCCTATTCCCAGATTCTGGCAGGCGGTGTACATCCAAGCCCGGGATCCCGGAGCAGTGTGGGCTGCAGTTAGCGGCATGTAGACAATAGAACCAGGGGATAAGGAGACCATCCAGGGAGAGTGTGTGGGCAGTACGGAGAAGGCCCGGGGCGGGGGGAGGGGGGACCACTTAGAAGGCTCCTAGAAAGGGCCAGCGAAGTGGATGGAATTGGATCCGGTGAGGTCAGAGGGAACCAGAGATCAGGAACCACAGGGAAGAGAGTTTAAGACGGCCATCTCAAATGCTGCTGTTCAGTCCAAGGACAAAAGGCATTGGGGTCTGTCCTTGTGGTCACTGATGATCAGGCTGAGTAGCTGTCACTAGACTGGTAGGGACAGAAGCCAGGGAGAAGTGGGCGGGGAGTGCAGGGAGGGGAGGGAGTGGGTGTAGGGATGTAGCAGTCCTTGGAGATGGGGAAAGGGGGCGTGTTTTGTACGGTGAGACACCCTAGTAGGACATGTGCCTGGGGAGTGACATGGGCAGGCCACAGTCCCCAGTGTTCACACTGACACAGACCAGCCCCCAGTCAGGTAACAGGTCACGTAGACCTGACAGCCAAAATGACCCATCTTCCCAGAGGTCCTCTACGGCGCGAGAGCAGACGCAGGCCCAGCTGTGGCGGCACAGGTGGGGGGCACTACTGTGTGACAGAGCATAAGGCCCAGGGTTCAGATCCCAGGTTGCGGGGATTGCAGTGTGACAAGACAGGGCTTCCTGTCTTCCTGTCTCTCAAATAAGTGAACATAAGAAGATACAGTATTCACTTTACACACACACGCACTAATAGCCACGCTGCCAAGCCAGACCCACCAACATCTGTACCTCCCATACAGAGCACGGTCCTCTCCTAGGGGCCCCTCCCACCCAATTCTCACCCCTTAGTTTCTAGCCTTTTCTCTCCCTGGTGACCTGCTCACTTAGGAAGCATGGCCATGCCTGGGCTGAATAGGGACAGGGACGGCTTCATTATCCAATGACAGGTTTTATTAAGAATATGAGAAAGCGATCCGAGACGGGAAGTACAGCAGCTGTAGGTCAAGAACAGCAAATACAAAATCCAGCGACATCTTCAGCTGACACCGTTCCCCCACCCAGCCCACCCATAGCTCTTCGTGCTCGACGTGCCGAGAGCAGACGCAGGCCCAGCTGTGGCGGCACAGGTGGGGGGCACTACTGTGTGACAGAGCATAAGGCCCAGGGTTCAGATCCCAGGTTGCGGGGATTGCAGTGTGACAAGACAGGGCTTCCTGTCTTCCTGTCTCTCAAATAAGTGAACATAAGAAGATACAGTATTCACTTTACACACACACGCACTAATAGCCACGCTGCCAAGCCAGACCCACCAACATCTGTACCTCCCATACAGAGCACGGTCCTCTCCTAGGGGCCCCTCCCACCCAATTCTCACCCCTTAGTTTCTAGCCTTTTCTCTCCCTGGTGACCTGCTCACTTAGGAAGCATGGCCATGCCTGGGCTGAATAGGGACAGGGACGGCTTCATTATCCAATGACAGGTTTTATTAAGAATATGAGAAAGCGATCCGAGACGGGAAGTACAGCAGCTGTAGGTCAAGAACAGCAAATACAAAATCCAGCGACATCTTCAGCTGACACCGTTCCCCCACCCAGCCCACCCATAGCTCTTCGTGAGCAACAGCACCCTCTCCTCCCTGGTCCAGCGGGGCGTCTCGGCGCATGAGCAGAAACAGTGAAAGGAAGCCCCAACTCAGTGGGATAAATAAGTTGCACCGGTGAAATGACAACACGTAAGTAAATAGGACAGACAGCAACAGGGCTGGGGCGTGCAGCCTGGACTCAGGTTCTGCACTTTGTGCTTCATCTTGGTTCCTCGAGGCCCGTCCTGCCAATTCTCTCCAAGAGTGGGCAGGCCCAAGCGCCCACGAGGGCCTCCTGCCAGCACCCTCTTCCAGGGGAAGGAGACCAGGAGGAGGGTAGCAGCTCCTTAGTAGCACCTCTGAGTTCTGAAGTTTCTCTCCTGCCATCAGTTCAACAGAACAGCCTTGGCCCCGAGAAGCACCCACTGCTGCCCACGGGACAGGCTCTGCCCCACCACTCAGCCTGCCGCGTTTCCTGTCTCCACCCTTCCCAGCAGTCAAAAGTCAAAATTGCACGTGTGAGACAGACACCTGGGCCTTAACTTACCAACGAAACACCGCTGCAAGGCCACTTTCCTGCAGCCCAGACCCCTAACTGGGTGTCTGGATGAGTGTTCGCTTTTGGTCTGACTAATCCCACCTTTTAGTCCTCTCAGGCCCACCCCGGGAGCTAAGGCCTCATGTCAGGCCTCGGGAGCCCCTTAAGGATGGGGCGGGGAAGCGGTTATTTCCGATGCTTGGTGTCCTTCTCTGAAGACTTGGCTTCACCATGCCCACTGCTTGCACTGCTTAGAAACATCTTGTCCAGTCCCTTGAGTGACTCCAGCAGGTAGTTCTGGAAGGCAGTGAGAGCAGCACAGATGGCGGGCCCGCCGAAGCCATGGGTGATGAGGCTGAAGTGTGTCAGGCAGCTCTGCACCCCCGGCTCCAGGATGAGTGCTGGGCGGCTGTTGCCCAGCGGCGAGCGGTCCTGAGCCATCAGGTCTGCAAACTCCTTGCAGATCTGCCTGGTTGGGAGAAGGAGGGTCAGAGGTTAAAGGACAGAGGTCTGAGGACCTACACATGCTGGGCACTTTAGATGCATTATCTATATGACTGCCGACCCTCCCAACAGTCTGCAAGTGACGACCACACCCATTTATGGGGAAGAAAACTAAGGTTCCGAGAAGGAAGCTGACTAGCTTGAAGTCCCAGGGAATAGCATGCCCGTGCCCTGCGATCTCCTCTGGGTGCCCTGCTCACGTTTAAAGTGGAGCTCAACTACTCAGTCCTTACCAGGAGACCCCTGGCCCTCTCTCCAACCTCAAACACCCAATGCTTCACAATGTCTTTGAAATGATGAGGGAACAACCTGGAATCTGCCTCGCGTGGTTAGAATAGCAGCCAGCAGCCGAGGCCGAGGCCCGGATACCGTCTCGCTGCCAGCACCGCCTCACTAACCCTCACAACCTTCCACACATGATCTTCAGCGGACGAAGGAGGAAGCATTTCGGACAGGTTAGAAGGCCTGCTGCTGTGGTCGAACTGGGATTTGAATCCAGCGCCAGTCTGCAGCCATGACTGATTCCCTTGTGCATCCTGTGTGTGGCTCAGGCAAGGGACCCTGTCACCCCTCATCGCTGTGTCACACAGACGCCTTCCAGCATCTTCAACAAGCTTGGGCTTCAGGAAGTGCTGGGTGCATGAAGCAATTAGTGGACGAGGTGCGCCCCGCCCCAGTATGCTTCCCCAGCTCCAATACAAGCCCTCTGTGGTCCCTCCATCCATGTCCCCCAGCCTGCGAGTCCTCTTCTGCTAGGGCACTTGAGGAAAGCCTCAAAGGAGGACCGAGAGTAGAGCTGGGATTTGAGCCACCGCATGAGGTGGGGACGTGGATGGCATCTGAGTCGAGGTCAGCTGGCATGGTGGCTCTGCCGGCCAGGTTGTAGGCCCTCAAAGGAGTTGGGGCTTGGCATACAGAAGGATGGTTTTCAGGTCTCTCTTGAACCATCCGTGTGCAAGCTCTTGCTCTTCTCCCCCACTTCCCTCTTCTGTCTTTTCTTGCAATGAGCCTGTTATGGTCTAAAATTCATACACTGAAATCTTACCCCGGTGATGGTATTAGGTCGTGGGGCCTTTGGGAGACAATTAGGTCATGGGGGACAGAGCCCTTGTGGGTGCGGTTAGTGCCCTTAGAAAAGAGGCCAGAGGGGATGGGAGGTGGTATGGTGGTTAAGCCATTGGAATCCCACATGGCTGACCACGGTTCAAGTCCCGGACCTGGCAGTTTACTTTTTCACCTTCCCCTCTCACCCTGTCCCTCTCTTGTCAAATTAAAATAAATAAATAGGGTCCAGCAGGTGGTATGGTGGTTAAGCACACTGGACTCTCACATGGCCAACTGCGGTTCGAGTCCTGGACCTGGTGGCTTGCTTTCAAACTTTCCCTATCTCTTTCTCTCTCTCACTCTGTCCCTTTCTGGTCAAAATTAATTAATTTATTAAATGAATAAATAATTAAATTAAATAATTCTTAAAAATAGAACTTATAAAAATAAATAAAGTTAGGGGCTGGCAGGGGGTATGGTGGTTAAAGGTTCCCTAGAGAGCTCTTTTTGATCATCCAGCTGCAGACACACTTCCCAAGTGCCAAGCACTAGATTTATTTTTTTCCCAGCTGTCATAGAGTAATAGTTTTGTAAAATGCAATAAAAATAAACTAGTAGATAGGCCAGGAGGTGACACAGTGGTTAAGGTGCTAGATTCCCACATGGCTTACCATGGTTTGAGTTCCAGACCTGGCAATTTGCTTTCTCACTTCCCTTTTCTTCTCTCTCAGTCTCTCTCAGGTGAATTAAAATAATGATAATAAGAATAAATAAAAAATAAATAAATAATTCTTTAAAAAAGAAAAAGTCAAGAGACACATACGACTAAAAATAAAAAAGAAAAGGAAAGAAAAGAGGCCAGAAAGGCCCCTTGTTCCTCCCACCATGTGAGGACACAGCAACAAAGGGCCACCTGTCAGCCAGAGAGCAGGCCCGCACCGGACCCCGGATCTGCCCTCGGACTGCCCAGCCTCCAGAGCCATGAGGAGTTCGTCTCTGTCCCTTATCGGTTTAAGGTATCTTATCACAGCCGGGTGGATTAATACAGGGACTCTTTATGAAAACTACATCTTAATGAAACGTGTTTGTTCAACAGGCCCTGAGGTGTCTGAAAGCCAGCACGGTAGCTATTACTGAAGGTCCGTGGGCTCAGGCAGGGGCACCTCAGACCCACGCAGGCCTGGAGCTGTTGATGCCCCGAGGACGTGAGTGAGGCGCCCACTCCTGGCCTGTATGTGACACTGTTTTTGCTGATGCAGACCCAGGTAGGCCCACGCATGGTGTCCGTGTGTGCCCCAGGGTCTGTGGGTATGTTCATGCATGTCTGACCGTGACGACATGGCCACACGTGGTGCCATTGCCAGGTGTGGCGCCCGCACTCACTTGGCGGCCAGCAGCATGCTCTTGCGGCTGTGCAGCTCCCCGGGGTCGGCATGCTGGCGGCACAGGTACTCGGCAGCGGCCTTGGCTGGGAACTCGGTCTCACAGACGTAGCCGAAGTCCCGGGCCAGGTGCACGGCCTCTCCTGCGGGGAGGGGTGTGCCGGTAGGCCTCTGAGCCTGGAGCACAGCCTTGCACCTCCCCCCAATCCTGCCTCTGCAGGTGCCCCATCCCCTTGCCCAGCCGGGGGCCCAGCTCCAGCTCCAGCCTCCATTCCACTGCCCTCCCTTGGGGCCACCTGGGACAGGCTCTGAGCTCAGGGTAGGGGGAGGCTGAACCTGCCAGTATGCTAGGCAGAGGTCAGCAGCCCACAGGGCTCTCACCTCCATCCCCATACCACATCCAGACCCTGGCTACTCCTGCCCCCATGCACACACATGCACACACTGGGACGCTCCATGCACAGGTGTACAGGCACACACAGACACTATAGCACTTCCACGAGCACACAGGCGCTTGCACTAGCCCGGCACACTGAAGTGCACACCTAGCCCGCACTTACCCTCCACCAGCGAGGTCAGCAGCGTCACGTTGGCGGCCTTGCGGCGGCCAGCAGGCAAGTTGAGCCCAATCTTCTCCAGCCGTTCCCGCAGGCACCGGCCCCCATTCTTGGACTTGGCCCTTGACACGCAGACACAGACATGCAACTATGAAGACCAGCCGGAAGCGGGTGGGAGGCTAAGTAGCCCCAAAGGGCTTTGCTGCCTCCCAACCCCTGCTGAGGCTGGGTCTGGCCCTCAGGATGCTCCGGGGTCCCTTTCTGCCAGGTCCTGACCTCACTGCTTTTGCAGCCAAGACAGGAGGCCCAGCACCCGGTTCCAGGAGCCCCTCATTTCCCCTCGGGCTTCACTCCAACAGGGGCAGCCTAGGTGGGGCAGGACAGGCCAGCATCTCGCTCCCTTTTCCCCAATGAGCACACTAGCTGGGTCAGACACAGCCAGCTACACAGGAGCAGACACACGGGACACAGGAGCACACGCCACCTGGGCGTTCATGGGTGCACGGAGGGACTCATGTGAGCCGAGAATACAGACACACCCACCCTAGCAGAGACGTCTGTGAGACACAGACCTGTGATCACACCATGGGAGCCCAGAGGGCATAGGTGCAGACACACAGGGACTCAGACCCCCACAGAGGTACAGACGTGTGCAGACACATGTGAACAGCTCCAGGTACACATGTGATTACACGCATGCAGGACACTCACACAAATCTGTACTGCTGGCCATGTACACGCATGCACGCACACATGCACACACATGCATGCACACTGTCCCGAGACTCATCAAAACCTGTAGTCCAAAGTGGAATACCCTTCCCAGGCACAAGGGCATGCACAGAGACACGACGGTGAGGACACTCCATGGACCACCACGCTCCCCACCCCAGACACACACACCAGGGAGGCCTTATCCAGCCATGGGTGAGCCGGGGTCCCGGGATCTTTTCCCTGGGGGGAGGGGACACACATGGGTCTCTCTTCCCCAGACCCAGCCCTGTCCATCCTGCCCAGGGTGGCTGAGCCCTCCGCACCTCATCTGTGCCCTCTCCCCACCCCCACACCCCAGACCTGCCCCAAGCATGCATGGTCCAGGATGTCCAGGATCAGGGCCCTCCTCCCCAGGGACCCTGAGGCAGAGGTGACTGTGGGATGAGGCTGGTGCCCTCTCGGACGCCCCGAGAGGACTGAGGAGACCAGGGGTTTCAGCCAGGCGCTGTGCAGGGTGGCGGGCTAGCCTTCCTACCTGCGGAGGACGCCCCCCAGGAGAGAGGCGTTGAGGCACTCAGGAGGTGAGAGTCGCCGCTGCACCTCCCCCACCGTCACCTTGTACTTGGACGTGGAGCTGAGCAGTGAGAGCCGGCCGGGAACGGAGCAGAAGACCTCGCTGGGGTTGGTGACGCCGCCAACCAGGCTGTCTTTGGCCAGGGAGAGGCCCGAGAGGCTGCTGGCTTTGGAGGGGAGGGGGACTGTGGGCTGAAGCAAGAGGAGGAGAGGCCGCCACTGAGCCGGCGACCGCGTGCGGACACAGGGGCAGGCCGGCCCCAGCCAGCGTGTGGCAGGCACACTGGTGTGGGCGCTGCAATGTCCCGACCTTGGCGGGGAGGTCCTGTTACCCCTGCTTCACAAGGGAGAGACTGAGGCACGCTGAGGGAAAGTGCCGTGCCATGTCCACTCAGCACGTGGGCGTGGGAACAGAGCCAGAACTGGCTGGTGCTGGAACCCGGGCGCCCCTCACTGGGCGAGGCAGGCCCTGTTCACGCGCAGCCCGTTTTGGCAGTCCGCGCAGTCACGGCTGGCAAGTGCCTCAGGGAGGCAGATGTGAGGCAGCCCGGGCGCTGCCAGGTCCGGGCAGTCCTGCTCCGCCTTTCCTTTCCCACTGATGATCCTCCTCTTCCCTCCCAGCCCCCCCGATTACAGCAAGGC